CACTTCAACATGTTTTATAAAACATTTTATCTGATTTCTATAGCACACAGCCTTAAAAAAAATAACATGTTCTTCCTTTACCTTCCTTTTTGCTTTCTGGAAGGCTACCTTTTAGAAGCACCTGCAATTTTGAAGGAAAGGGTGAAATAGAAATTTGGCTTGGGGGGATTTTAATTCTGAGAGGTTTCTAAAGTGAAAATATAAATTCCATTAAACACGGTTCAGTCAGCTGCATGGTTAAAAGCTGTCCCTTAAACATATAATGCATGGGCAATTAACTGGGTGAACAGGTCTGTCAAGATACATCCTTGGAGTGATCATTGTTGACTCTTTAATTATGGCAAAGGTAAGCCTGACATTTTTTTAAAGAAGTATTTTTAGAGAAAAGAAGTATTTTTTTCAAAATAAAAGAAAAACAATGTTCAAGAAATGTTCAAGAAAAACAATGCTAATTCTGTTAAAATAATTCAAAATTATAAGATGATTTAATCAATTAGTCACTTATAGAAGACTGATTTATGTATGTATGTAACAGAGAAAGGAAATACAAATGAAGTACCTATATGGCTTAGAAATTGTTTATTCTATTTATGGTTTCCTTATTAGAGTTTTTTTAAAAATTCTGAATGCTAATGTCCCTCTCTTAGTTTCTGGAGTTTTTCTCTGATTTCTTTTTGGCTGAAGGGTTGAGTTTCACACACTTTTTAGGCTTTTCTCTTTTGGCTTTTGGGGGTGTTGGAAATGCTGGCAATTGCTTAGTATGTCATCTGTTAGCTGTTACAAACTAAATTTTCTACATGATGACTTCATTGCAGTGAAGTAAAGAAAGGCAAATGTTTTTGAAATCAGAGAAATGGTTTTCCTCAAGACAAAATATCTACCCAGAAGAGGAAACAAAATCTAATCAGGCTTTGGATGAAGTCAGAATTCCTAGCTGTCAGGTATATTCACATTTGCATAGCAAAAGTCCAGGTCCTGAACACCTGGCAATTACCAAGGACTTTTTGCTTGAACTAAGTATTGAGAAAAGAAACCATCATGCAAATTTAGCATTTAACTTGTGTTGTGTAATGAACAACAGATTTGATTTGAGAGCTGACATTTAACCTACATTTAAATTTCAAATGTATGAAATTGCAGAATCATTCCATATAAATTTCCATAATATACATTAAACTTTGAGTTTGATCAGTTACTTCCATTTCAGTACTGATGTTTTTATATGTAGGACTCTGCTTTAAAACATCATGGGAGTTCTACAGTATTTGGAACACCATTACGAAAAAGAATGAATGGAGTTTGTTCAGAGCTCTGACCTTGGCTAATGCCATATATCATGAAGCTAGTTAGAAATCTATTGTGTATGTAAAAATGTTCACAAAGATCACAGATTTATGGGGTTTGTAACCAAAGTTGTTAGAAAATGCCTATTTCCCCCAGCTGACTGAGACCATAGGAAATAATAAGAACATGGTTATTGTGAAAACTACTACTCTTCTTAGAAAATTCTGAATTTTCCAAATTATGATTATGTTCACTTTGTACTTTCTATTTAATTTTTAAAACAATAAATAAAACTCTGACATACCAAACAAAACAGGTTAGCATCTAAAAGAGGAGGCATGGAATTCTTAACAAACTTTAACCCTTTTAAAATGGAATCCTTAGAATTGTGACATTGTTATCCGATTCCTGAGTGGGAAGCCAAATGGGCTGCTGAACGCCCAGATACCAGCAGTTACACAGAAAAGGTGCCAGGTTTTGACCTTCCTCACCAGCATTGGTCAACTCTGAACAGGATCCGTACCCAGCATGGTGTCTGCCAGTGGTGGGATTCAAATTTTTTTACTACCGGTTCTGTGAGTGTGGCTTGGTGGGCATGGTTTGGCTTGGTGGGCGTGGCAGAGGAAGGATACTTAAAATCTCCATTCCCATCCCACTCCAGGGGAACGATTACTACAAAATTCCCATTACCTCCCCACCCCACTAACTTGCTTTCCAGCTCCATTCTCCTGTGCAGGGCAACAAAAGAAAACCCAGCTGATCATCTGTGACTCGGGAAGCAGAGAATAGATGAGGCAGGGCCTGTCAGAGGTGGTGGTTTTTGCCGGTTCTCCGAACTACTCAAAATTCCCGCTACCGGTTCTCCAGAACTGGTCAGAACCTGCTGAATACCATCTCTGGTGTCTGCCAGGACTCATTGTTTAAGAGGGGTCTTGTCTCTACCCCTCAGTGTGACTGTGGTGCTCCTCGACAAAATATCCATCCCATTGGGTCCAAATGTCCCATCAAGAGCTTACACTGTCCCAATGTCTCATTTTTTTCAATATAGACCACCCTGTCCTTGAATGGCTGGGTGGACTGGACATTAACATTTGAACCACTATAAGTCCATGTATGTGCCATACACTAAATAAATAAATCCTGAGTAGGAAGCTCTCCAGTTGAGTTTTAAGTAAAATGGGGAAATACCTGCATTTCAAACATTTGCTGGTAGCCTTGCCTTCCCCCTGGTATGTTGCTAGTAGCTTGGATCTCAAGTTTGTGCTTAACCCTGATTATTTATTTGAGAACTGACCATGGCTATGGTTTTGGATTTTTGTGTCTCCCTGGATACGAGCATTTGGCTGAACTTACTACTGTAATGCTGCTGTTACTGACTTTCTTCAAATTTGATCTGATTGATTGCATTCCCTTCAAGAGCCCCAAACAAGATAAAATGCCCCCAGCTCTAACTCCTCAGAATTGGGCAAGGAAAAAGAACTTATAGGGAAATCATAATTCCCAGCAACTGTTAGGCATGTTGTTGAAAAGTTCTTAGGCATGTGTTGCAGAACAATGTTTTGTAAGTGTACAGTATATCTTTTTTCCTGTGATCCAATATCCCCCTATTAAACCTTGGAATTTTAAATCTCGTAGGCTTTCCCTGCTCTGATATTTAATACTGTACATACTTTCAAATTGGGCTAGCCCTGTGTCAAACTATATTAATGGAAATCTGGTATAAAAACCAGAAGGTTTCATGAGAACCAGTCAAACAGTTGCAGGTGTAAGTTACATGTAAAGTTTCTTGTTTGCTACAAGCTGGAAAAGTTCTGTGTGTCTGTTTCCTATTTTGAAGAAGTTGCTGGCTTGGGGGTTCAGGTTTTTAAGTAGTGGGTTGAAGGTTTGGTTTGCTTTTTGTAAAATATAACTTATTGGTCACTTCTTGTATCGAAAAAAAAAGTTCCTCTCTGTAAAATTCCCCAAACTAGATGGAAAAATGTACTGTTATTATATTGTGTCACTCAAGGACTGTGAGAATGAAATGCACGTGTTCTTCTTCTGTACTTATATTCTGTTTGCTATATCTCCAATTTAAACTCTCTAAGCATGTCTGCATCTTGTATCTGACAAGAGATTGAGATAGCTAAAGATCTCAAAATGATTATTTGGGACAGGGGGTCCTTTTTACAGAGGTAACCGTAGAAAATCTGAAGAGATGGGTGAAGGACAAAAAATAATTCCTATAGCATTTCAGAGAATACTTATAGAGTGTAAGATATGACTTGTTTTATGTTTATATCAGCTGTTAAGTGAAAATCTATTTCTAGACTCTGATAAAGGCAATGAATGGAATTGGTCGCTAGCATGTAATTATTAATATAGTTATGGAAGAGAATCCTATCCCCAAACTGAGCAGTGCAATTCATCTTAATAGATATTGACAACAAGTACAGTGGTATGTGAATTAAGTGCAAGATAAAATTAGTAAGACTGTCATCATTTTGACTGTGTCCATCAAGTTTTTAATAGTGTTCATTGCTGCCCTTTTTAAAAAAAAACATTGAAAAATTATTTTGTTAATAATTAAATATAATCCACAGCTTGTCTACAAGTAGTCACATATTTCCCAATAAACTTTAATGATCAGATTATTTGTAAAAAAAATCCAAAAAGCATCTGATAGTTGTGTACATGCTCTGACATTGTTAAATGTATTCCATATTCATTGATTACTGAACTTATACCTGGATTTTCATATATTCCAGCGCTGAAGCAGCTGACAATGAAAACAAGTTTAAGATACCAGAAAGCTGATATAATTAAAAGCAACATTAAAATGAGCCATTAAAATAATTAACAGAATTTCTGTAGAATAAGGCGCTTACTTGAAGTTGTTTAAACAAAATCTATTATTGCTTTTAAATATACCAGTAACTAAACATGTTTATGTATACAGTATGCATACTTTGTTTATTAAATCATCTATATCCATTGAATATTCTACTTGCTGATTTTGCATCCTTTATCTATTCACTTTCTTTATAATCATCTGTGTGACTCTTTCCATTTAAATCTTCTTGCTTCCTTTACCTGCAGTTGTTTTTTAGTGTACATTGCCACGAAACATAGAATATTTGGGTATTTCCATTGTTTACTTAGCTGGACAGCTAATTCTTGCTCTTCCCTTACATATGTTATGTATCATTCCTGTGCACAGTTGTTAACTTTTTCCAGATCAAGTTATTATTAGCAAAACCCTTAAAAATCTGGTTGATGTTCAAGACTAGAGGTCTTCAAACTTGACAGCTTTAAGACTTGTGGACTTCAGCTCCCAGAATTCCTCCTCCAGTCGTTAGCTCAGAAATTCTATGAGTTGAAGTTCACAAGTCTTAAACTTGCCAAGTTTGGAGACTCTTGTTCAAGACTGTCAGACGTGCTAAATATATTTTAAATTCTTCATGAAAGTATTTTTTTTGGAGAACATCTTTGGAGAAAACTAGCACAGATGAATACCTCTGATGTCACTTAGATTTTGTCCTCCATCTCTATGCTGAAATAAAATGTTACCAGATTATGTGCAATTAATTCTTGCCCCATTTATTTATCCTTAATATTGTTTTAACACTTATAGTGCTTTTACTGATTTTAGGATTGCATTTTTTAAATTCCTGGATAAGGTTATGCGTTCTATTTTGAAAATAAGAAAGAAGAATCAATTTTATCTTTCTTGGCAGCGGAAATTCTTGAATTGGCTGGAAATGCAGCACGAGATAACAAGAAAGGCCGTGTCACCCCTAGACATATCTTGCTGGCTGTAGCAAACGATGAAGAATTAAATCAGGTGAAAATATATTCCATGGTTTTAGGGGTTTATTTTTCTTTCTTTTTTAAATTCCTGCTTATTCTGTCTAAAAATGTAATTCATAATCTGTTAAATAAGTCAATATTGCTTCAGTTGAATTATATCTTTAGAAAATATATTAGCAGTGGTTAACTCTGAAATTGTCATAGAGTTCCATCACTCAATATGGACCCAACTCATAATTTGGGTATTTCATTATCCTTTTCTTCAGAATCAAAGTTTTAGTTTCTTCAAGTTTTAAAACCCCTCAGAGATACCTTTTTGTTCCACTTCCTTTTAAGCTGTTGAAAGGTGTCACCATAGCCAGTGGTGGTGTATTACCAAATATTCACCCAGAGTTGTTGGCCAAAAAGCGGGGTTCAAAAGGAAAATTGGAAGCAATCATCACTCCACCTCCAGCTAAAAAAGCAAAGTCACCATCACAGAAGAAAACTACAACAAAGAAAGCAAGCACAAAGAAAGTAGCAAGAAAATCTAAGGTATATCTACAATTTTTTTGCCGGTCTTATGCATTTTTGCTCAAAAATATAGTAATTAAGTTGCTAGATGACTAGTAAAATATATCACCAATCTAACATAAAGTAAAAGGCAATTGCACAGAATTATTCTGATTCATAAGAATACCTACAGGTCCCACTGCCAAAGCAGAATCAAGGCCATCATAGAAGACCCCTCACACCCTGTCAATTATCTTTTTGACCTCCTGCTGTCTGGATGTCGTTTTAGGTCAATAAAATCCCATACCACTAGACTAATAAATAGTTTCTTTCCCTGGGCCATCTGAACCACAAATAAACACGAAGTCACTATCTTACTAAGATGTGAAATCTCAATACCCCATTCAGATGTATAATAACATAATCCATCTCTTGTGTATTATACTCGGCTAAGCATTACAGTCAGTGTTGGATGTATATTTTGTGTATATTTGTAGATATTATACTCTCAAATTGCAAATGGAGACATGGGTACTCTGTTTTTCTTCATTTTTAAGTGCTTTGGTTTTATTGTATTGCGAACAGTGGTTGGGGTGCATCTACAGTTTCGTTGTACTTGTACAATGACAATAAAGTTCTTCTAATTCTTCTAATTCTACATTAGATCTAGGTATTTCAAGAGTGTATATGTGAAATATTGACTTTTCAGATACATAGTAATAACAATTCAGCTTCTTTTATAGATTTAGATGTATAGATAGACTATAGGGCTGTGCAGTTACATTTTCAATTCTGATTTATCTGCACATTCATTTTTAGCTATAGAGACCAAAAAGTCAGCTGTTTTTGGTGGTGATATACCAATTACTATTTATTTTTTAACATAAGAAAATAGGTGCTACTCTTTAAAAAAAAAAAAAGATGTAGGAGGGACGACCTGACTTTAGCATTTAAGTTCTAAAAAACAAGATTTTGCTATTTCTTTCCTTTCTGGAATCTGCTCATCCCAGCATATAGTTTCTTTCTTTCTTTCTTTCTTTCTTTCTTTCTTTCTTTCTTTCTTTTTTCTTTCTCTCTCTCTCTCTCTCTCTCTCTCTCTCTCTCCCTCCCTCCCTCCCTCCCTCCCTCCCTCCCTCCCTCCCTCTCCCTCTCTTTCTCTCTCTCATATATACAGACACACACATATATTCATACATACATATATACACACGTGTATGTATATTAGTTATGTAATGTTTCTTTAAAATTGGATTTGCTAATAGACTGATTGGTTAACTGATTTATATGTGAAAAGAAACAGGGAGAAGTCAGTAAATCAGCAAGCGCTGACAGCACAACAGAAGGTACCCCAACAGATGGTTTCACTGTCTTATCCACGAAAAGTTTATTTCTTGGGCAAAAGGTAGGTTTGTGCATGTATTCAAAATATTTTTTGTATGTGTGCACGCATGTGTGTTAATTGAACCTGGAGATATATTTCTATGAATATCCTCAAGTTATTTTCAAACATTTATAAATGATATATATTAATCAGCATGCCATCAATTTATAAACTGCAGTGGGTTTTTAAAAAGGCCCCACTCCAAAAGAGAGAAATTTAAACAGACATAAGATTAATAATAAATATGAATGAATACAGTTATGCATACTTGGAACTCGCTTACAATTGGGAATAATGATTAGGGGGTTAATCCAATAGTCTCAGAAAAGACAGGTCTCCAGGGCTAGGCATCCCCAATCCTCAGGCTGTGGTCCAGCACTGGTACACAGTCTGTCAAGGATTGGGCTGCGCAAATGAGTGAAGCCTCATGTACGCAAATGAGGGATCCAGGCAGCATGTGAAACGGTCCACAGAAAAATGCTCTCCATGGAACCAGTCCTTGGCACCCAAAAGGTTGGGGGCAATAGGCATTCAAAAGTGGAAGACATACTGCCTTATATTTATTGAGCAACCCAAGAAGAGACAGATAGGAAGGTAGTCTTCAAGTAGATTATCCTGGCAGATTAGAAGGAGCCAAAGGCTAGGCAGAAAGTTTTTTTAAAAAAAATAGATGAAAATACAGCCATGAAGAAGTAAGGACATGGCATTTATTTTGATATAAAACAGAATGAGAATCTTGTAAAGGATGTTGATAAGCAACAACATTTGGACAAATAATGATTCATAAAACTGAAAAATTTTGGTAGTGATTTAATAGAGATAAAAACCTTAAATTATAATTGTAAGGAAAAGGTTTCAGTAGTCCAGAGTAGCAATAATTTAGCACAACAGAAAGAAAGAGGAAAGTGGGCAAAATCAAGCTTAGAATTAAGGTTATCTTCCTGGAAATAAATTACAAGCATCCATAGAGACAGGAGGGGATTGACATAGTAAGCCACAGTCACAAATTAATATAAATAGAATAATTTATATTATAAAAGAAATATGCATCAGTTTCTAAAAGAGGTTTGTTGCTATATAGTAAATGATAAGACTGGTAAGGGAGACATTGCAAGAGGATTCTACAGTCACAATCCAAAGAACTTTTACATTGGCTGAAGCCAATCTCAACTCATACACTGTATGATCTAAGGAAAGAAAGAATTTGGGAAAACATTGGAGAGATTGGTGGGTGAGAAAGACATTAAGCAGTTCTTTATACCTGATCTCCCCACTTCCTAGGTTTTTCAAGGCATATGTGGACTTAAAAATTGCTTATTTGAGCATTCACATGTTGCTACATGTTTTTCTTGCAGTTGAAAATTTAAGGCCCATTTTCTCCAACCTGAATTACATCAAGATTAAGTGATTTAAAATAAAGTGTGCTATGTTTGGTTACAAAAATTGTAAACAGATTTCTTCTGGTGTCATAGTGTCACATTTCATTTGCTAATTATATTGCACTGAAATAATAGAGTTTGATATACATACAAGAAACCTCCAGAGAAAATTTTTCACAAAAATAGAGAAGATTGTAAATATGTACAAAAACAATTGTCTTTTAACATGATTTATATGAATATGGCTTCTAATCATATTATTCTACTCTACTGGCATGATGATAATTGAAATTCTTTGTCAAGATACATCCATAAATATTAAGAGATATTTGCTAAAGGTTGAACAATAAATATTGGTTTATAAGTAATGATGTATGGAGAAATAACATATATTCAGATGGAGAATGTTTTTGTACCTAAGAAGGCTTCGCGTATATATTTAGCCATATTTAAAAAATTTAACCCTAAACTTTCCATGACTTATTGCTATTCTAAGTATTATTGTTTGTTATCACAAGCTTTGAATACTGAGCTAAAAATATTTTTATATTATATTTATTATATTATATTATTTATATATTATTATCATATTATTACTTCATTAATCTGTGTGAGGCCAAAAAATATGTTATGTATTGATGGTGGTTAAATGAAAGTGATGCCAAAAGAGTATTATGTGGAGCATTCTTAATCTCAGCCCTCTTAATCCTGTTAATGTCATGGTGTTCTAACCACATTCGTTTCACAAGCTGCTAGTAACATGTGTGGAAGCCTTAAGAAATCTAAGAAATGTATGGCTCTTGGAAAAACTGTAATCTGAAATGGTGGCAGTAGATAATAATAGAAATACCTCTCTTTTTTAAGTTGTTGTATAATTGGAATTATATCATGTGCAGACTGGTTTCAACTAATGTTTATCCATGACATCATCAATCCATATAGCTATCATGTGCTATATAGTATAAATTTATATCAATATTGAAGAGAAAAATGTCTTTTGTGACAGTGGGGGCAGCCTAAGGGACAATATTGCTATCTGCCAAGCTTCCATTCAAAATAACTCCTTTCAACAAGCAGGCAAGTGTTCTGCTGTCTAATGGGGGGAGGGCAGGGAAATGTTTATGTACCCACTGAACATTTCCTTTGAGAAAAGAATTGTTTTGCACAAAATACAATTTGTTGTTTACAAGCTTAAGTGTGCAAAGCCTCCACTAGACATACAACAGGCTAAATACATTTTCTTTTCCTCTGTCTTTTTTATTGAGTCTAAATGTATAATTGGAAATTTATTTTCAAATTAAGATCTTTCTCTTCCTGGATTTGTACAGTAGGCTGTCTTCCAGTATATGCTTATTACTTATGGCATTTTGAAAACAGTGGAATATAAGCAATGGATTGATTCAGGCATAATGTGTGTTGATTTAACTGAAGTTCAGAAAGCAGGAATAGATGACTGGAATGAGCATTTCCATGCTTTCTTTACTTTGGGCAAATCCACTGTAGTATTTTGCCTCTCATTTAGTTACAAATGAAATATTAAAATAATAATTAAAACTATAAGCCAGCCAGAATTTTGTACATATATATATCATCATGAACCCTTCCTTCATTAATATTTCATTTTCTTTTTAGATGAGTCTGGTTTTTTTTCTTCTCCTACCTCTTCCCCAATTTTTATTATTATTTTGGCAATCTTAGTACAAGTTTCAAACAACAGAACATGAAAAAACCCAGAAAATATTAGAAATGAATAAAATAATTTGCCATATCTCTGGTGATGTTTCAGAATGGATATTTATATCATTCATCTTAATACAAAAGTAAAATTTTAGAGTGGAAGTACTACATACAGTCAAACTTTTCAGGGCATCTCTGAATTGTTTATAGGGCAGTCCATCCCATATCTTCCGGGGACTACATCCTATTGGCTTCAACTGAAATTACTCTTGAGTTTTTGGATGCTTTTATTGTTTAACTCAAAACTACCTAGTTGTACTCATTCAACTCTGTCAAAAATTTAAACAAAAATGATCTGTCTACCAATCACAAAAAATAGAACATGAACAATGTGAAGGAAGGCTATTTTCACATCAATTTAAGTGGATGCTATGCATAATTTCAGCTATTATGATCAAGAGATGCCCCTGGGTTGCATGAGCAAGAAGCCCGAAGTTGTTGTAGCAATACCTAGCTTTTGCAGACCCTTCCTCATCTGGCATTACAATTTGTAAACTAAGCCATGTTCTGTCAAATTTTGACTTCCCATATGGAGAATTGTGTTAGTTTCTAGAGTTTGAAACATATTCTGTGTTTGTTTATAAGCAACTTTCTTTATGACCTGCTGTTTATTTTTGCACATTTGCCTTCAGAGATGCTATCCTCATCTATGTTGCAAAGCTTACTTTTACTGCAGCTTCTCTGTAATTTCCCAACTGTCCTGTTGTTATTTCCTACCTCATGCTTTTCTTTTCAGCTGAACCTAATTCACAGTGAAATCAGTAATTTAGCCGGCTTCGAAGTGGAGGCCATTATCAATCCCACCAATGCTGACATTGACCTTAAAGATGATCTAGGTAAATGGGGAATGGGTGGCTATAACTAACAGTCACATGAAAATTATGGAATTTGCAGATTATTTTCATGTAATAAATTTGATATTTTATCGTGCAACTCAGTGCATGTTCCTCAGATACAAATTCCATTTGATTGCAGGGGGACTTAACGCAGGTAAGATAGAGGAGTGCATCTTTAGTACTCAAAATACATAATAGAAAGACTGTTAATATGTGTAGCATTCTCCAGATACTACTTGCATGAAAATGACTCTCTGAGTAACTCTGAAATCATTTAAATGTTGTTCCATAATAATCAGATGTGACTGTTGGTTCCCTTGGGAATATTTTGCATATAAATTCTGTGAGGACTGAAATAGCGCTTTATATCATCGTTGGCTTCAAACTAAGCAGTTTCTCCATTCTGATTTCAGTTTTCTATTTTCCTTGCTTTAGCTAAAGACAGAAATGGATAGACATAGATAGTTAAGGATGCAGACTTACACGGGAAAAAAACTCCATTGAATACAATGAGAATTGTTTCTGCATACACAGAAGTACTAAAAGTTATGTATTTGATGTTCCTGTACCTTCTTTCATTCTCCCTTTTCTCAGTATACACCTGTACACAGACTCTTAATTTTTTTTGAAATGCTACCATGTATATTAATCTGCAGAACATAGGATTATTATTTTTTTATTATTACATTTGCATACACTGAAGCAATTGGTTAGGATAGATACTATAAGCTCTGGAACCTTCTGGAGTTTTTCCCCTTATCAGCTATGTTATAGCTTTTTTAATGTTAAAATGATCTATGTTAATTATAGTTTTAAGTATCATTTTATCAAAGAGAAGTTACCAGGCACACAGATTTCTTTTTTTATATGAGAACGAGGTAAGAGAGAGAATAGTATTTAATTCCCACATTATATGGAAGTTGATTAAGGTGAAAATAGTACAGTAGTTTGGCTTGATTTAGGTGTTTTATGAATAACTTCTTCAACCACATTTACCATTTTTAATGAGAGATTACATTCTATGATTGGAGCACTCCATTTCAGAATATTGTTCCTAAATCGTTGATATTTGGTGTTTTTTTTTAAGCCATATCCCATTCATTGCCAAGGACAATCAAGTGCATATTATTGTATATCCTGATCGAAATTATAATGAGGATGTGAAATCGGTGTTAACTACTTAAACAATTTTCTGAAATGCTACCATGTATATTAATCTGCAGAACATAGGGTTAAAATATTTTTTATTCTTATATTTAACTTAAAAATCAACTTAGGAAAGGCATGGTAAAATTAAACACAAATAATTAAAATATAAAAATATCACATTTTGGAACTTAAATTATGAAATTAGCACTTTTTTCTCATTAAAAAGAACAACTACCATGGTGAATTCCATACTATCCTATGTTTCTGTTTATTTAGAAGTTATAGAACAAATATTATGCTGAAATCTCTACATATATTCATTCTTGAATCTTCAGTTCCTTAGTCATAAGTCTACCACTGGGAACTCTAGAGTAAAGGTAACTTATAATCTATTGTTTGCAAATTATTTATGTCCTTCAAAAACCCAGCACTCGGTCATATAGTTTCCTATTAATAGATTCAGAGGGAGAATTTAAGAATTTTGCCTCAGGATAACATGGCCATTGCTTGTTGAGGCCAAAATGAGCCCAAAGGACTATCGCAAAAGGTTATGTTTCATTTCATCCTTTACCTCCATGCCATTCAAGATATCTGCCCCTTTCAATGGGGGTGACATATTCAGTAAATAGTTATAGCATTGCAAGCTGAAAATGCTCCCAGAACCTCTGGGGAGTTAAACTACACATTGATTTCTGTAGGTCTTAATGCATAAATATTCCCAACATGATTAATAAAATCATGTTGGGAATATTTATAAAAATCAAGGAATATTGTAAAGATAGTGTATCAGAATGGAGAAACAGTTGCTTTGTCAGATTTGATGAACCAGATTGGATAGAGTTATCATAATGTTTTTTTAAGATTACATTTTTACAGGTTCTGCAAAACCAAGAAGATGCTAGCTGTTCTTTATATTTCCTTCCTGAAATGCAGTGTCTTTGACCTATTGGTCAAGTACTAAAAGTTATGTATTTGATGTTTCTCTACCTTCTCCTTTCATTCTCCCTTTTCTCAGCCCACACCTGTACACAGGCTCTTAGGTTTTATTGTGATGGTTTATTACACATATTTTGGAGCCCAAAAGGTAGGATAAAGAAGGATGTTGGCATGTACATAAATGTAGATCCTGTTCCGGGTCTTTGACCAACATGGTTGATACACATTTGTTTACCTGTTGTAGTTGCAAGTTGTTCAGGCTGACATTGCCACAATCGACAGTGATGCTGTCGTTCACCCGACAAATTCTGACTTCTACACCGGTGGTGAAGTAGGTAATGGAGAGTTCAGTGCTGCAGACTTTGTGTGTGTATGCATGACCAATCAGCAGCAGCAATCTTGTCCCTGCTCTGCAGAGCTGCATTCTTTTCTCACTTCCAGCAATCCACCTCAATTCCAACGCAAATTTCAAATGGTTAAGTGAAAAAAGCTCTTTGATCAATACAAATCAACCATGACTGATCTTGGGGGGGAAAAAACCTAACCAAGGTTGGACATGGTGGTGCCTAGATGCAAATCCATCTGAAATCCACAATTGTCTACAATAAACTGGCAAGTTCATAATAATAAAAAAGAGTTCTAGAAAAAACACGGCAAGAAAATCCATGTTCTTGTAGTTACTAATAATTAATTTATTAATTTTGGGAGATTTCAATTTTACCTTGATTACATAAACAGTGATTCTGCCTCATTGTGTAGTAAGAAGAGTTGAGTCTCTGAGCATACAACTTAAGAGACTTCCTTGCCCTGAAAACTAGAGCTACACGTGGAACACTTAAGAGAGGCACCATTTAACAGAGGCATTTCACCAAAGTGTAGTTTTTGGAGAGAAATGCTAATTTCACAAGCTTAAATCCAATTTTGATTATTTTATTATGTGACATCAAGTTGGTATGGACTCTTAAAGACCACACATAGGTATTAACCGACACAAATATTAATTCTGTAATGGACCTGTGGGAAGCATGGAATGACAGCCTACCAATATATTATCAAATTAAGGGACTGTCAATATTAAAATAATGATATTTGGGAGACAAGGATTCATAGTATAGCAAATTACAATGATGTAAGACTTCCCTCCTGGAAATACTAGGAACCACTATAAGATCAAGATACAATAACATTAGTTTTTGAATGCCAATAACTAGGAAAAATGTCCAAAACTAAATTGTGTGCAGAATTTCACACGGAATATCATAGATCAGAAACCATATATATTTTAAAGTAATAGTTTGATCCAGTCTACCTTAATAGTTCTTATTTCCATTGAAATTGATGGAAAATTTTACTTATGCAATATGTCCTTTATTTTGACTTGCAGAACCCATAATTTCTAAAAATAGCAAGATGTGCTTCAGTATCAATATTTGATTTGGGAGAGGAAGAGCGGAATTATTTCATTCAGTATAACATATGGTCTTCTAATTGCCTGTGGCTGCTGGAAGAAAGAATAGAAGTGCATACATGCTTAGCTTCAAATGATTAACTTTTATTTCTATAAAGACCTTTCTAACTGCAGTGTATATTGGGGAAATATTTCACAAATTTTATAGACATCTGCTGTTGTCACCATTATGCCAATGCCTGCTTTGACAGCATGAAATAGTGACATTATTCTGTGGGAGTTTCACATATATTTATGCTTGCGTTGAGCCACTCAGCTGAAAGCTGTAGAGCATGATGAAAAGAGAATGACACCCCCCTTCTAATGTAAAATGGAGACAGCATTTCATTCCTTAAATACAAGTTAATGCTTCTGCAATACCATTATATACCCACCAATACTAAAAAAAAAAAAATTATCATAGGTCTTAAAGTCATATGAAAAATGTAACTCCAAGGAAGATTTTTGGAAGATAACTTAAATTTTTTTGTTAGCCCAGCCTTAATTGGCAAACTATGTGTATAAAAATAGCCTTAGGAAATCGATAAAAGCCCTCTCCACATTTCTCCAATCAGCAAGCCTCCCAAGCTTAACAAAATAAAAGTGAAAATATATTTTCTTTAAAATCATTTCAGACTTTCAAAACCGATTTCTGTGAATGTTTGCATTTGGCCATGATAGCATCTTCCCAGGTGTGTTTTCAGTCACCTTTGAGGAACTTACAGGACATAGTTCCTTTATAGCCAGTGTGACCACTTCCTAATTAATGGTCACTGTTCCCAGAAACATTTCTGTCAAGTTTACTGAAACTGAATCAACTTGGGTTGAGTCAGACCATTTCATTTAAAGTTCTGTGCAATGAGTGTCAGCAGCTTCACACATTTCATATCTTTGGCTCTCCCTGTCTTTTCAGATATTAGGAGAAAAGCATGAAAGCTTTTACATGCAAAACATATGCCTTACCATATGACAGCCCTCATTTCTATCTGCTGTTACTACTGCAAAAATAGTTTGAAACTCAAGAACCTGCTTATTATTTATTTATTAATTTTTTATGCTGCCCATTTTACCTGTAAGGTGACTCTGCAGTCAATCTGTTGATCTGGAGTTTCCTACCTGTAGTTCAGCAGTGTAACTCCTGTGGAACTGAGAAGCAGTGCAAACAAACAAAAAGTATCAAGAGCCACAACTTTTGGATTGTGGACTCACAATTGTTTTTAAAATGTGTGAGTCATTTATATTCTTTTCATTCAATAACTTGATTTTGCTGCTCCCAAGGTCAGTTTTCCAGGAACTGAGGACGTGTGGCTTTTATCCATGTTTGGAGAAGAAAACACTTGGGACCCTCCTTAATGATAGAATGGGTCTTGTGATAAAAGGAAGGCAGAAAAATGCATGTATTAAATCAGTGTTTTTCAAACTTGTCAGTTCAATTCCCAGAATTCCCCAGCCAGCCAAAATAAAACCAATAAAGTTTAGGCTGTGATATCAAGTAATGCATAATAGATTCCCAGTAGTTTTAGATACTTGGTTTCAATACGTACTACCAAGTTAAGTATTTTTCAACGGGCATATAATATGTGGACTTTCATTAGAAATTACAGCCCTCTCCCCTGTATCATTTGAGTGAATTCATTTTGGAAATATTGTACTAAAGTACCAAAAGCCTGACCCTACGCATGTTTACCTGGAAGTAAGCTTTGATGAATTTGGCACAGGTTGCAACCTGAGGCATTGTTCCTACGTATCGTCACAAAATTCTCTTGAAATAAGCCCCGAGTTACTTACTAGGTAAATATGTTTATGATTAGGCTGCAGGGATCAATTTGCAAAGTTACTGCTTTAGTCCAGAATTAATCCAGTGTCACTGTCACTGTTTCTTTGCCTCACTCCTTGTATAATCATGGAACAAATGCAATGTGATTTGGGTGCTTCGTTAGGAATGAACCTTTTCCAGCTACGTTCTATTTCCTCTGTATTAAAGTAAAGCTGCAAAATAAGATCTAAACCAGTTCATGGTGGACTGCCTTTGCGCAAACCTCAGCCCGTAATGGAAATGATGCAGCTCCCTTCCTAACTCGAGCAGCATTTGTTACACTTCCGTAGCTGTAGTGAAGCAATTCAGTGGAGGGAAGTGGGTACCCTAGAGAATCTCCTTATTTCTGAGGCTCTTCCTCTTGGTTAAAGGTGGTTCAACAAGCCGGGCAGTTGTCAAGTAAAGCAGCCAGTTGCACTCACAAGACTGTTACACTCCCGGGGGCCACCTGTTGGGGTCAGGGATGAAGATGAGGTGAGTTTCAAGTTCTTATTATGGCAACTTTGTCTTTAAAGCAGTCTGTAACAGAAAGGGGGACCTTGCCCTCCATGGGAAAGCGTTGGTACAACAGTCAAGTCTCATTGCATTACCCGTTCTCCGGAAGGCATGTCTACCGGTGGTTCTATGGAAGCAGCAGCATGATACGTCGCTGCCCTGCTGGTTGGCATTGCAAATTGTATTGGGATAAATCCCGTGGGAGGGTGAATTTTTACAAAGATGGCGATCAAGAGGGAATTGTTACTTATGGACCAGTCCTCAAAGGTTTAGATCTTACTTTGCAGTCCCCCACCCCCATTTTTTTGCTCAGAGAAATCTGTGATGTGTAGCCACCTGAAGTGATAAATGCTCTGTTGGATGTGGAACAGTCACCACTCTGTTCTTGCACAGGGAGCACATTGGAGAAGCGGGGTGGAAAAGAATTCCTGGAGGCTGTTGTTGAAGTTCGCAAAAAGAACGGGCCATTGGACACGGCAGGAGGTGCATTTTAAATTCTTGGGAAATGGGGAACATTATATCCTTGTGTACCATAGGTGGTAGTTCAATTTAACTTGGATTCTTTTAATTAACCAGAATGTCCTCAGCATGTCATCGACAAGGATTGTGTCAAAAAGGCCTTTGGACCTGGGTTTATAAGAAGGCATTAACACTACATTGAAAATAATAAAACAAGAGAAATGGGAAAAAGAAAATAGACTACATTCAATTTCAAATCACTACTAGCATATGCACTAATTCAAACTGCTATATTTGTAAAAAAAATTAAAAAAATTAGAGGCATATAGTCCTATGCAAGTCAACTGCATGTGGAAGTGTGAGCATTGAAGGAGTATAGAATCCAAGGTATTCAAAAATTACCTAAGTAGAGCTTACTTACATAGTATTATCTATATATTAATGGTAAGCATTATATCATTTGAGGGGAAAATCTGTGTGAATTTGTATTGAATTTGTATTTCACAATTGACCTAACTCATGTGAATACAACCAAAGAGTGTAAGTATGTAGAGTACAGGGCATGTTTGCCCCTCCCGCCCAAATCAAATTATAGTTTAATGTTATGTCCAAATTTACCACCCAGCATAAATACAATCATATTCATTGTGCAGTATAGGTGATCCACTGGAGTAAAAAACTATATGTATCCTTCATTGCTGAATTATACTATCCCAATAGTATTTTCCAAAATGTTAAATACACTCTTATTTTTTTCCTCAACCAGCTGTTGTCAGTTCAGGACATGGATTGCCTGCAAAATTTGTCATCCACTGCAATAGCCCCAGTTGGGGTTCAGACAAATGTGAGGAATTGTTGGAAAAGACAGTGAAAAACTGCTTAGCACTGGCAGATGAAAAGAAGCTGAAGTCAATTGCATTTCCTTCCATTGGAAGTGGCAGGTAAACCTGGAATTCATCCAGTTTGTACCAAGTCTATATTCATACAACATGCTAGGCAATAAACTGATTGTTTTTTTGTG